TATAGTATATAGCTAAATATAATAATATAAATTATAAACCTAGAATAATAAAATCATTTTGGTTGGAAAATACCTTTAAAACCATCAAATCCAACCATTAAATTATATCATTATATAATCATTATATATGGTGTGAATATATATTACATTACTAAACATTATGCAATCACACACACACACATAAGACAAATGGAAATTTAAAAACATGTAATACGGAATTAGAAAGCGACTTCTAGCTAGCAGGTGCACAGTGTATCAGCTCTGGTTGCGGGTCCCGTTGCAGACGGCTACTCCTATGAGAAGGAGGCGATGGAGAGCTGGCTGGGCAGCACGAGGCGCTCGAGCCCGATGACGAACCTGCCCCTCCAGTCGGCAGTGCTGACCCCCAACCGCACGCTGAAGATGGCCATCGCCCGCTGGCTCGAGGCGCAGCCCCAGCTCAGCTAAACCCTTTGCTCTGAAGGGCTCTGTGAAAAGTAGCCAAAATCAAACAGGACGTCCCTATGGGAAGCAGCTGTGTTGGAAACAACTGGAAAATAAAAATGGCTTGGCTCTGCTGATCTGTGGTGAGCAGGTAAACATCTGTTACACAGAAAATCTGCACCCTTGGAAGCTCCCAGAAAATATCTGAAAAGCATCTAAGTTAAGTTATTGGTAATTTTACTCTGTGGTATTCCTGGTTAAGAAATTAAATAGCCAGAGTCACAGTTTTTCAAATAAAGCGTTCTTAAAATTTTTACTACACTTATGAGTTGTTATTTTGCAAAGTTGGTCTTTCAGGAATACAAGAAATAGCAAAGTATATAATTTGCATTTCTAATTAAAAGAAAAAAAAAAAAGTCTTTCCCTGTTACTGACTCTGTAAGTGGTAGAGGTGGGAGAGAGTTTCTCTTACAACCATCAGTGACCACAGCTATATTAATAATCTTTATTTTGTATGCAAAAAAAATACAGTAGCTGTGCAAAAATAGAACTACAGGGCAAGACTAATATAGGACTTGTACAAAATATCAGAGAAACAGTAAACAATAAATAAGCTAAAGCACAATGAAGCGAACTCAGAAAGAATTTGTACAAAGGGGCAGGGCTGTTCACCACCTGCATCCAACACTGCACACAAACACGATGTGAAACGGCCGGGGGTTTAACTCTGCCCACGCCAGCCTCACTGCACTCAGAGGAGCGTCACTACAGCTGTTCATTTACAGAACATTCTTGCCAAAATAAAACCTTATTTTCTCCAAAAACCCCCCACAACTTCGACCTATCAAGCAACTGCACATACACTTCTCCCAAACTGCCAGCTTCACTCCATCCATTTCTTGGGTTTCCCATAAAAACACTTTACTAAACGTTTCATTGCTGTACCTTTTTCACAAATAAACAATAAATCATTTTGCTTTAAGATAGCACCCAGAGGTGATTAGAGTAACTATATAAAGTGCGATTATTGTTAATATGCCATAACATTGTGTTCTTCAGTGCAATAACCAATATGGTCAAAGCCTTTCAATACACATGCAAATGCCACTGTTTATTTTACTTGATTTCTTCTAGTTACTAAAAATAGTTATATTTACATGTCAAAATATGGCTGCTTATAGTTTACTCATACACAAATTATTTATATTTCCTAAATGTACATCATGCAACCCAGATTAGAGCCCACTAGAAAAGCAATAAAATACTATCTTTGATTTTAGAAAAACAAACCCCACATACATATACAGCTCTGAGCATTACACAGCAGATACCTTTCGTAACACTGGTTGGAGAAGGAAGCACTTAAGCGTTAGAGGCACAATTAATGACTACGCGTGTGGCGAGATGTGGTATGACCAAAAGCCAGGATGAAAGCCCTACATAAAACAAAAGTCTTGGTTAATGTCAAGATGCAGTGGAAAGGATGTCTCTGCCTGAGGTCCTTGGTTGGTGGACTGGTGATCCCAGCTGACTCCTCCTCCACACCTTTGCCATTCCAGTTACCGTCCCTCTCCTGTGCTGGCGGGAACCATTAGCAGTGGTTGTATCCCATGAGGTACTGGCCTACGCGCAGCTCACCCAGCTCGGCCATGGCCAGCCCATCACTATTTCCTATAGCTGTGCTGCCCTGTGATGGTTAAATCAAGTTTTACACTCCTGTAAATGCACCAGGTAGTACTCATACATTGGATTCAATGAATGATCGCTTTGGTTTCGTAGTGGCGACGTGACCGAGGTGGCTCTCCGTGCCGCCATGGCTCGAGACAGCCACCGGCATCCGCGTCCCCGCCATGGCGCGAGCCAGCCACTGGCATCAGGGCTCTGGCGTCCTGGCATGGGGCCAGGATTTGGCACTTCAGCTCCTCACGCTCTTTCGCCTGCACCCCGTTCTGGCTGCCTTCTCCTGGGGCCGCACCAGCAGGGGAAAGTTGTTTGGTTTGGTGGTGTTTGACTGAGAACTGCTCGAAGTTTGAGGACTGCACACTCCCAGAAGCAATGTTTGCTGATAACCCATCCAATGCCTGAGGGTGCCAGGTGCGACTGGATTGAGTATTTTGCTGCTGAAACCTTGCAGTCTTATCCATGATTCCCATAAACGGAGTATTGCGAGGTCTGTGCTCAGCCATCGTACCCTGAACTTGATGAATGTGCTGCTCCTTGAGGCGAACGTCTGGGCCCAGACCCTTAATGCTTTCAGGAAAACTGCTGGTGGAGGTTAAGCTGCTGGCTGAGCCGGTGAGCAGCACGCTGCTGGATGGTGAGCCAGCAGAGACACCACTGCTCCCAGGGCTCTCCTGCCGTGCTTCGCTGAAATTCATTTGAGCTGGGGTTGTTAACCTGTCAGCAGTTTTAGACTTACTTGCAAAAGCATGAGCAGAAATACTCTCACCGTGCTGTGAGCGGGAACACAGCCTGGACATGGACTTCTCATGGTGCGGTTCGGAGCTGGGACCTGCGGCGACACTTCCAGATGACGAGGTGTCCATCCCATCCAGCTGCGGGGCTTTAGCGTGCCGGACTGGCAAGGGACTTTGGGGCAGATGCTGAGAAGCCGACTGTGCCTTGGCGTTGCACTGACTGCTTCCCATTTTCGATCCAGGCTGGCTGGAGCTCAGGTGCTGGTTAGTTTTTACAATCTGTGCCTGCTTTGTTGGCTGCATGATCAAGCCTGGCTCTCTCAGATATTTATTGCCTGTTCTGCTTTGAGGGGACACAGGCCTGGCTTTCTGCTGAACACCTTCCTGAAGGGTCCTGCTGTACGATGAGGCAGCTGCGGAACGCTGCAGCCTTTGCGGAGAGCGAAGAGATTCATCAGGGTGGGGCAGTTCATCCTCCCTGTCCTGAAGATTAAAATTATCATTCACACCTTGTACAATGCACTCCTCCTCGTTGTCAGAGTTGTTAAGCTGCTGCAGGAGCTGTGGAGCCTGATGCTTCTGTTGCTGTGTCCTCTGGAGCTGTTTGCACTCCTCTTCTACCCGAGCCAGGAGACGTTTTATCTCTTGATTGCTGGGACAGAGCTGTGCCGCTTCCCGTAGGTCAGCAAGAGCAGCAAGGAGCTTTCTGTTCAGGGGAAAAAAGAAAAAAATACGTGAAGGTAAACTTAATAAAAGCCTGAGGCAAACCTGACTCCCTGCATTGCTACTACTAATCCACCTCCACGCATTTCAAAGGAATACCCTGATTTATGATCTCCTGCTGCAGGTTGAGAACTGGATGTTCTCAACCCAGGAATTCTTGCCAATGGTGAAAGCCCAGCGCTCAACCCTTCCCCTTGCGGCCTAACAGCTTTCTGGGGGGCAGCTCAGCGGCACACTGCTGGCAACATTCTGCCGAGTCACGTGCAGCAGCAGCTCCATTCACTTGTACACTTAAGGTTATCCCTCTTGCTATCAGCTTGTTCCTTTCTGGACTGCCTAATATTTACCCGAGTATTCAACATTGCTTTATGGGGTTGGCTGACTTCTTTAACTCCTGCAGAGACCTAATACAGCTGGGAAGTGCACAATGAAAATAGTTCTCTTTGCTAATTCCAAATACAACTAGTGGAAAAGGGAGTTACTGAAAATGTGAGGATGTTAGATCTGTGCGTGCACATGCACAGGATCAAACAGTACCTGCTGTTCCTCTTGGCTCTTGCTCTAGCGTAATAGGCTTCATAGGACTTGGGTTTCAGATCCAGTGCTTTGGTAGCAAACTCTTCAGCCATGCCGAAGTCCTGGTAATTTAAACAAATGTACTCGTTATACACGGACAATCAAAGCAAGTTGCATGCTCTTCACTTATGGTATTGCTTCAGAAGCACAGATAGCTCACACAGCACAGAAAATCTCCTTTCTGGGTTAGCAAGAGCAGCTTTGTTCTGAAAGACTGAGAACAGACCTCAGCTTGCTAACCTGGTCTCTTGTGTCTAAGGGAAACTGACTCCACTGTCTAAGGGAAACTGTTGCTAAAACGCAATGCTAATACAGATAAGAAACAGTTTTGTTCAACTCAAAGATGTGAAGATGCTAAAAGAGACTGCATGTTTAACAGGATAAATTATTACCTCTGACAGCAAGGCTATACAATGTATTCTGGAAAAAAAGGCCAGTTAAAGACCTAGGAATTTAGAGAAAAACAAGAAAAAGCAGGAAGTGGCTTGGACTACTCCAGAGCTTTCTTTGATACGGTATATAAGATTTTTAGAGAAGAATTTCACTTGACTTACTGTATTTAGTTTTTATTGAACAAGAACACTGAGTAAGGGTTTAGTAAATTGTTGGCTACACCAAAGGCTGAGAATGAACAGAACAGGACTGGAATGGAGGCAGAGATGGCGATGGGGGAGAGGGCAGCAGAAGCCAGGCTCGTTTTTGTAACAGCCACGCACAGCATGTTCATGACATTGATCTATCTCAAGCATGGGGATACAGGAGGTTGGGAAGTACTAACACCAAAAAAACTGCCCTGAGATCCCACTAAAGAGCACAGCGGTGTGATGAGCTTCAGATCTGACGCACTTCACAACTAGCAAAATGTAAATGAGAGCTGGTCAGTGGGCTGTGGTAAGAAACACACATTAGCAGGTCGTGGAGCCGCTTCCTGCTGTATTTGAGGCAACTGCAAAAGGCAGCTGCAGCCAGAAGGGCCCAGGAGAGGGAGTTCCAGCGCAGGAAGGGCAGGATTAGTCCTGCTGTGCCAGGCAGCGACAGAGCTGCCAGTGGAAAATCCTGAACTCCTACTCTGAGAAATTCTTCAGATTGGAGCAGATGGCAAGAACAACTAGGATGATCAGGGAATTAAGAAGTTAGTGTTTTAAAAGAAGGAACCGCATCAGGTACATTCAGAACATCAGAAAGTTTTTGCTCTGATGGCCAGTCAGGTTCTTACCAGCCATCTGACGCGCTGGTGAGGGCACAAAGAACCACCAGTGCATGCAGTAGGGCTGTGGCAGCAGGTTTTGGGCTGCAAGATCACCAAGGGCAGTGGTGGAGGCATTTGCCATTTAGCTTTTAAAAAGAACCAAAGCCATCCAGCAGTTCATTGCTCCAAAAGAACCAGACTGCACAAGAACAGCTCTAAGAGATCCCCGGTGGCACCATGCCCTCAGCCTGTGAGCTGTCCCCATTTGTCAACTGGACAAAGCCTCCAGTCAGGATACAGGGAGAAGGAGTCTAAAACAGCAAAAATGAATGTCCATGTACAAACTCAGTAACTCAGCAGAAGGCTAAGATTCCTGATGCCAGAGAGGCGACCATTAACAACAGGAGCTTACATTTGTTTTTCGACGACATCGTGATAGGTTTAGGTACAGCAAAACCCTCAGCTCATTGAACGCTTTCATTTCTTCCCCAAATCCTTCCCTTGGGAACTTCCTCAAGGCGTACTGATAGCGCTGGGCTGCTTCCTTCATCTTACCTTTCTACAAATTTAGGAAACAAGAGGCTTTTCACAAACATTGCGATACTGTAGCAAACCTCCCACATTTGTATTTGATATCTACCAACAGGGGCTCTTCAAGCAGAAAACACAGGGGCAGATTTTTTTAAAAAATAAATATACAGAGTATGAATTAAACTTACACACAGACACAGTGAGAGAACTTGCACATTAACTAGAGTTCGTGCTGGTTTCTAAACTCATACCTTTAATGGCATTTCACCAGGATTATACTTGCATTAATAGATGCTACTTGCTAAAAAAAATCATGCACGATAAAACTCATTCTTTCTATCTTTATGATATGGTTTTAATTATTTAATTAATCTTAACACTCAAAGTGGTCAAAATTTACTTTTCAAACTGACAAGAAAAACATTTAAAGTCTATTCACCTTGAGAGCTGAGAAGTAACTATTGCACATGGTGAGCATACTCCATATGTGTTACTCCGCAAAACAATTACCCATTTAAAATACTCTGGCAAATAAATAAATTGCAGTATACTGGAAAGTTTGCAAGCTACATGACATACCACAGCTCTAGCAAGTACATTCAAATTGCTCTAATAAAACTAAGCACTCAAGAACTAGACACCAGCAGGGAATTCAACCTCTTGTGAAAAACCGTAAAATGTATTAGTGCCAAGCCCTACCCTTATAAAAAGCCGCTCAGTAAAATACAAGTCTTGTAGCTAGAACAGACTTTGAATGATGCTTCCATGAGCCGTTCAGCACAGTGCTGCACGAGTCAAACATCCTGGGTGCATCACACCGTTTGCAAAACCAATTCCAGTCTCCTGAGCAAAATATACCACTAGTAAGAAGAATGTATCAAAAGCGCTGTGACTTTCCTCATTGTATATTTAAATAGCACACAAAACCCCATTATCCTGAGGAGGATATGCCTAAATGTCACGTAATCCAATAAGGCACTTTCAAATAAGCACCTTACACTCTGAATTGCTCTTCAGAAGCAACTGACTGACAAAATGTTCCCAGAGCAACTTGCTCAAGAGAAAATGTGTGTGTGTGTTTTACACAGGAGTTTTCAATGATTCTTTCCCAGAGTTCTCCAGATTTCTTAGTCTCATTCCCAGCGTGAGAGGATGTGTAAGCACACATCTTGTTTGAACAGGAAAGGAGGTATGAAGAGCTTCAATCTACTTTCAGACAGAAATCCAATTATAATGCTCTGCTGTCAGAAAAAAAAAAAGGTACCTACTTTGTACAGTATATTTCCTTCTTCCATCAGTTTCTGCAGCAGAATTAGAAGAATATCAGGTTTTGAGGTGGCCATTGCCCATGCTGCATTTCCTGCAAGTTAAATTTTAAGGATCTCTGACAAAAGGGAAGAAAGTGTGTTTTGGATACATATTCACACTAAAAAGTGTAACCCTACTTCAGCAGGTATTCCACCTGCACGGAACTATTATTATTAGTGTTATTATTTGTGTGTGCAAGCATATTTAAAATACATATATATCCATACCTGCCTCCCCCCACCAGAGAGCAGCCAGATAGTAAAAGTTCCAATTCATTTCACCCCAGTCTAAAGCCAACATCAGAGAGTATGAAAGCCATGGTAAAGTTCAGGCCTGAGTAAGGATCTGTCCTAGATCATACTTAGTACCCAAATAATAATTAATGAAGATTTAAAGGCACTACAGATTCAACAATTATCATGAACACACCTGCACCAACTACGTGCCTACCAATAACACACAATACGGGCATATTTTTTGCCATCCTTTGCAAAAATGTATGATTCCATGATTTATTAAAAGAATGTGATTTAAACATAAAACTTCTTAATCTAAATCTTTAATGGTGTCAGAAATAAGTATCACTAATAGCACAACCATAATTTTCTTGTTCAAACACGTGACAGAGTAACCACGTAAAACCCGACTCCTCCAGGCCCCCCAGCAGCACACAGCCCAGACGGGACCAGAATTCTGCCTTTCCTCGCTTCTGAAGCGAGTCTGGAGTGTCAGCCTTTAAAAGAAAGGGATTGATTTCTCTTGAGCGAGCATCTGTGAACCACAAAACCTGCAAAGATCTAGTGTGGGTTTCAAGACGTACTTATTCAACCTGCTTCACAGAAATGAGGGCAGTTCTAGCCAAGCAGAGACCCAGTTGTTTCTCTGGAGCACAGCTTGGTTTTACTAACCCAGCTTGGCGCCTTTCCGCAGCAGCGTCACCACAACGGCCGTGTTGCGGCATCCGATGGCTCTGTCCAGCGGCCGCATGCCGCTGTGGTCAACGTGCTCGATCGTTGCCCCTTTCTCTACCAGATACTGCACCTGAGAGAAGAAACGAAACAAGCCTTGCAGCATTATTTTGGGTAGGAGAGGTGAAAGAGGGAAGTGTTTAACAACCACTTAACTTTCCTTGAAGCAATCTGAATGCACGTTCCTGAGTACGCTAAAGCATTTCAAGCCCGCTGAGCTGAACGTGCCGAAGGCAGCACAGCAGGTGAACACTATCAACCTGCAGCAAAGCGCCACAGAAGGAACTAAAACATCCCAAAACGCCCAATTCCTGGAAGTACCTGTGTCAGAAAAGGACTAAGACCAACACATGATGCTTGTTCCCTCCTTTGCTGACATTCTGCATGCCCATGTGCAGACACAGCAACGCGAGCGTGAGGGCAGTGAGCTCAGAGAACAGGGCAGCAGTGGTTTCAGCTTCAAGCACGCCGTAACTAACGCCACAAGGTCAGGCGTGAAGCGCACCACCCAAACATGCTCCTCGTGCAGGACACACCGCTATGCAGGCCACAGAAAACACTCAAGACTGCTGTCCTGCAATGCGAGACATTTAGCGCATTACAGCTCACAGCGTAAATACATAAATGCAGCGAATCTAAAATGCAGCACAGGCAAATAAGAAAGAGGCATTAACAATCCTCCCCACTGCCAGGCCCTGAAGACCCAAAGCTGCTGGTCTGCTGAGGGATCTCTTAATTAGCATTAACCCACCTTGTCTGCTGCGAGTTTGAAGACACAGAGGGTTCTAAATCATGGACTTTAAACTTAGTGTATACTTTTCATCTCGGTTACAGGCATGGTCTAGTTCAGATTCAGAAAAACTTCATGTGAAATGTCGCTAATTCTCGCCTTGGAACATTTCACAGAATCAGAGAATCATTATGGTTGGAAAAGACCTTCAAGACCATCAGTCCAACCAGTACCTGACTCTGCCAGGCCGCTTCCAAACCCTGTCCCTGAGCACCACATCTAGATGGCTTTTAAACACATCCAAGGCTGGTGATGCAATCCCTGCCTGGGACAGCCTCTATTTATTACAGAGGAAGAAAGTAGTATGTGAGAAAGGTACAGGACCAAAAAGGAACTGCAGCAGTTGTCTTGTTTCTGAAACAGCCTGCGGAACGGACTGAGAAAAGCTGGATTTACACCTCCGGCCTTGTTATTTGCACATCGCCAGACTGGGTGGTAACGCTGAGATGTGCTCAGTGTCACCCTCACGAGGTGACAGGCACAAGGATTTCCAACAGTTCTCTCCTTGTCACGCAAAGCACGTAAGTCACCTATCAAAAAAATGAAATGCTGCCTTGTGATGGAGAAGCAAAGTCTTTCTGCATTTCATCTATTCTGGCAGCATTCTTCTTCCTACATCTCTCGCTTGGGGTCTCTGTTCTGTTAGGGCACCCAGCTGACTGGGACCCTGTCACGTTATCTTGGTGGGTTTGCAGAGACTGAAAAAAAGGTATTTTTGTTTCAATTTCCACGGAGTTTTTAATTCTAGTTCATAAAACATAGAAATTGTAAATGCTACTTTTTGCTGAGATACAGAATACTCACGATGAAGTGTGAGAGCACACTGTAAAACATAACAGTGTAATGCTCCCACCTGTCTTGGTATTAAAATCTTACCTAGTGCGTAAACACTCACACTGGTCCAGATGCTAGCAGTGTAAGCATTCTGGCCACTTCCTCAGATTTCCCTTCCGTTTTTGTTGGCACTATTTTTTGTAAGCTTTGGTTTCTACTACAAAAACTCAACACATGCTTAGTTCTTCTACCATTACTTCTACTTACAATATCAGCATCTCCGTAAAACGCTGCCAGGTCTAGGGGTGTCCGTCCGTTTTTGTCCGTCTGATCAGTAGTTGCACCTTTCTCCACTAAATACTGAACCACCTCCCTGTGGCCTTTCAGACATGCCCAGCTCAAAGCAGTCAGTCCCTCTTTGTCCAAAGATGAAATAATTGCACCTGTAAAATGAAAATTAACTTCAGAATGAAGACACCTTGTTTAGTAAGCACCCTGACTCACAGAGGTGCGGCCTTGAGCCACCACCGATGTTCTACCTTCAGAGAGCAGAAACTCCACAGTGCTCAGGTGTCCTTCACAAGAAGCCACCATAAGTGGAGTTCGGCCTTGCTTGTCGCTTAAATTCACATCAGAGCCATGCTCCACTAGAAGCTTAGCAATCTGAAACAGAAAATAACAACTTCAGAAAAATAAATTGGCAGAGTTACATTTTAGCCACTAGAGCATGACCTTTTAAAGAAGAGGACTAAGGTGTAAGAGCAATCATTGAGAAACCCCGCACAACTCAAGTTCTCACTCTTTGGAGCTCAGGGCCCTCTCCGGACAGGAGTGGCTGGCATGAGGCTCCCTCTCCACTACCATAGAAGCAGTACAGAGGGTCTGAAACTGCCTCTGTTCTCAGTCGAGGAAATAAAATATTTTAATTCCCACACGTGATTTTTCAGGTATATTATAAATAAGGTGGTCATGCAGCCGATGGACTCCTGAATCCTTTGTATCACTTTAAATAACTTTAGAAGTGAGCTTCTGAACATATCTCTTTGAAGTTGACGCAAACACATGTTAGTAACATTTACAGGAATTCATGACAGGACTAGAGAGGAACCGTGAGGAACTTCCCAAAGGAACCCCATTAACTCGCAAAGTTGTGTCAGACCTGCCAGTGCCCCTGCCGAACCGCGCAGAAGAGCGGAGGGATGCCCCTCCTGTTAGGTCTCGTCACGACTGCTCCATGCTCCAGAAGCAATTCGCAGACGTCCAGTTTTCCTCTCCCTGCAGCGGCTGTCAGGGCTAAAGAAAGCATTTTCATCAACACCGTCTCCTGGCTGTTTCCCCACATCTTTTGACACAGGCACATTACGGGAGCATTGCTGAACGCCCCCATTCTTTTCAACTCAGCTGCTCCATAAGGTTTTCCTAACTGTTTTCAGACTTGAATTAGTCATAATCGGTTTAAGTCAACAAGCCACACACATTCTCTGCTAAACAAAAAGACAATTCTCAGAGGTAACACATGCACAGCTTGGAGGTTACGAGGAATTTTACAAAGATTTTGGATAAGCCCACTAGCCTGAGCCAGTTCTAGCTCCTTTTTCATTAATCATTTTCTTCATGACAAGCAAGGCTCATCTCTCTCCACCAGCCCCTCCCCAGGGTGAGGGTGGTGCCAGTTGTGGATTCCACCACGGGACGGTAACTGCAGCTGCAGGAGGTGCTGTCTACTTCATCCCCACCAGCAATACCCAGATCTCTGCCGGAACAGTGCACCTGGGACAATTTAGCTTCCTTCTGCACTAGTTAAAACTGTTCTCTGTGTCTTTCACGGTGAAAACCACCGCAGGTAATCCACTGGTGCTTCTGGCTCCTTGGCATTAGCCATTGCTGTAGGCTTCGATGGGTGGCACAACGATACGTGCCACCGCCCGCGGGGCAGCAGCACCCTAGCTCAACCTAGAAATCTTCTCTGAACTGAACCATGTATGCTGTGAAGAGCGAGCACCTCGACGCCCAGCTAAAAAGCAGTCACCTTGAAACTACAAACATAGATCTGACTGCCAGCCCTCAAAGCAAAATTCCCCATTAAAGCTTGAAGCATTCTATTTCCACAATTTTTAATTTAATTAGAAAGTCAGTAATTTACAGTAATTTTAATACAAAATAACTCTTCCATACATGCAAGGAGTAGGTTTAACATTAAAAACTCTCCACTTGTAATTATAAACTGCATTTTATTATTAGAATTGGTACTTTCCCATGACTTCTATCACAGAAAAATCAAATTAAAGAATCAAAATTAAAACCTCTTACTTAAATGAGCAGCTCTATTTACTGTGAGAAAGGAACTACCTGTTTCTCCCCACAAGGCATCGGTGTCGTTGATGTCTATGGCGTGCTCTTTTTCAGTCGTCAGGATGTAAGAAACCACCTGTCAAACCAGTGGGCAGAGACTGGTGAGTCACAGAACCGCCCGCTCTCCCTCGCGAGGTGCAGTCGGGGGTGAGAGACTGAAAACAAGCGAGAGGGCTTCTCTCGATGCGTTCATAATCCATCATAATCCATCATAATCCATCAAAGCAAGCTCAGTATGATTTTTCTTATGACTTGAAAATGACTCAATGTGACTGAAAACAGTTTAAAAAAGTCCAGTGCCCTTCTGTTAATTGGTTTTACATAATTATGATTTAATAAGCTCCCGTGTGACCTACATATACCAGAATAATCAAGACAAACAATGGCAAGATTAAAAATAAAGCATCCCAGTTCAGCGAAGGAAGTCTCTATTGTCTAAAAGAAAGGCGGGAAAAAAGAGACTATCTGCACACGTCTTGTAAAGTGGTAATTGCTACATTTTTTTTTATACACTGGTTGTATCTTAGTCATTTTTCAAAATTTCTTCACAAAATGATTTAAGCATAAATTGTTAAATGCTAATTTCCAAACCTAGGATGAGTTTTAAATAAAGCTTTGTCACATTTTTACTTTATTAAGGAAATCTATGTTTTCTAACCACCTGCTAGCAAAAGATGATTAAACTAAGATCTCTTTCAATGGCTATTTTAAACAGGTTTTCTAAAGGAGAATACAGTCAATGAGCAGCTTTCCTGCAGCAAGCAGGAAAGGGAGCAGAATCACACTAACAAGTGTTTTGGATTCTACAGGGAATAGCAAAGGTAGGAAAGGAGAAAGCATACGGGGATTTCCAGGCTCCATGAGAAGTGCTGTGTACAAGGCGTAGAAATGTATCCTAAAATTCTAAATGCTAGAATATAATTAACTTAAAATTCATGAAACACACAGGTCTTTTTTCTAGCTAAGAAGAATTATTGTCCCCAAACCAGGGAAAGACAGAGCCCTGGCACAGGCTGCCCAAGGAGGTTGTGGAGTCTCCTTCCTTGGAGACGTTCAAACCCCGCCTGGTCGTGTTCACTGTAGGTGACCCTGCTCCGGCAGGGGGGCTGGACTGGATAATCTCTAGAGATCCTTTCCAATCCCCAACTTCCTGTGATTCTGTGATTCTCTGATTTTCACCTGAGAGTAAGTATTTATGATTAATGTGATCTATTTTGCTGATGCTCAGGAATTGACTGCTTTAACTTTTATGACAGTGAAGGAATTATCCAGTAATTCAAGTTAATCATAGTTTAGAATCCTCAAAGTTATACTGTGAGACAGTGATGGCTTCTATATCGTATAATAAATTAATTGCACACAGATGTTTCTATGTTTGAATCATGTAAACAACTTTAGAGATCAGATTCTTGATCTTATAGCAGTTTAAAATAGATTTAAAAGAAGGAAAAACTGTAATGGTGTTATTGAAGAGATTTTAAGTTTCCACTCTTGGGTCATTGCTTATAATGCACACGCAGGAAGCTCCATCACCCGATGTGATCTTTTTTCAAGTATCTTTACTTACAGATTATTTTTATATCGAGATTAGTATTTATTTTCCCAAGGAACAGAAGACATACTTGTATGCCTAAACACCTAAACATTTAATGCATTTTGACTGTTTCTTAGGAGTTTACTTTTAGCGTTCCTTTGACTGAATAATCCTGTAACACTTCTTCTACCCTGTAAATGCACGCAATCCCTAATTTCTAAATCCCTGGTTTTCACTGATATGAAGATGACAGTCTGTAACTTGACATGTGCATCAGGTTCAAAAGTTAAGCATGTGCAAATGTGTGCAATATACAATTTGTTATATTACAGAAAAAAATTCAAACTGAAGGAGAGACATACTAGGGTGGATTTCTGATACAGAATATCATGATTACCACAAGAGATTTAGGACAACTTCCAAAAACCGAGAGAAAAAAGCAAGAGAAAATTACACAGAAACAAATACTGAAGCAAATAATGTTACTGGATAACTAACTACAGCATTTAAAGCAGCTGCTAAGAATGCACAACACTTTAAAGGTCAAAACTTTCAAGAGTCTGCTTTCTCAACTTCTTTTAAAAACAGCTGCGAGCACTGTTGTATAACTCTCATGAATTCAAACAGATTTTGAAATATTTGAACTACCAACCTACCTGAGAGTGTCCCATACTGGAAGCTGCTGTCAGAGCTTGTTGCAGTGATTGGCTTTTTCTTAGAGAATTTTGTTCCTGGGAAGGGGTTATCCAAACAAGACTGAGCAAGTATTCAAAGACATCGCGATGCCCTCTCAGTGCACTATGAACCAAGGCACACTGGCCTTTCTTGTCCACATAGTCAGCCTGCGTGGGGAAAATAAATAAATGTTCAGAGTTCAGAAGTCTTGTGAAAGGCCATGGAGAGAAGAAGCTCCCGAACGTGCAAGAGAGCAAACGTCACTCCTATCTTCAAGAAGGACAAGAAGGAAGATCTGGGGAGTTACAGACCAGTCTCATCTTAGTCGCTGGGAAGGTGACGGAAAAATTAATCCTGGCAACCATTTCCAAAACCATGAAGGACAAGGCAGCGATCGGGAGCAGTGAGCACAGGTTTGCCAAGGGGAAAATCACGCCTAACCAACCTGACAGCCTTCTACACTGAGGTGACTGGCTCGGTGGGAGAGGGCAGAGCTGTGGATGCTGCCTACCTCGACTTCAGTAAAGCTCCTGGCACAGACATCCCTAACGCAGCCACGGACAAGCTGATGAAGGAGAGGTTACTGATGTGCGTGGCGAGATGGACCCACAATTGGCTGAACAGAAGGGCCAGAGGGGTTTGATCAGTGGCTCATGGAAAATGCTTCAGGAAAGTCTGTGCAGATGTTCTGGATCCCCCAACCACCCTGTCCCAAGTCCACCTGTGGTAATGATACACTTAATAATCAGCAACAGTTCTCTTGGGCCTTTGCATGATTTTTTTGGCTGCAAACATAGCAATCTTTGTGCAACAGCTTACCTTTGCACCTTTTTTACACAGCAGTGAAACTATGTTCATGTGACCTGCCGCAGCTGCGTAACTCAGTGCTGTCATCCCGTTTTCTGAAGTTCCATCAACAGCAGCTCCAAATTCTAGTAAAAGGCTGACCACTTCTTCATGTCCAAGGTGCGACTGAACACATAGCACTGGAGCATTATTTAGTACTTCAGTCCTGTAATTCACATTTGCTCCTGCCAAGATGAGCAGCCGACTCACCTAAGGTTTAATTTAAACAAAACAATTTTGCCCTCAGATTTGTCTGAATTTATTAAGAGAGTTGGACATCTTGATTCAGGTATTTGCTGCAAATTTAATTAGCAGACATTGAATTTATTGCATATATAGCAACATGGAAGTTTAAAACAAACTGCTAGCAAACAGATTACTGTATTACTGAACTATGTATGTCTAGTAGAAGACTCACCTCTCCCCTGAAGCTCACTACTTTCTCATCACAGTTTCATCTGTGTGACATCCTACTAATCCACGGATTTGTGTAACTGACTCTACTGATATAGACATTGATAGGGAACCAGAATATATATAAAGAGATCTCAAAAGATTTACCAGAGCATGTGTGTGTATGTCTGCGCATGTACACACAAACTTCCACTCAAAATATTTGGCAGTTGTCTAAAATCCCAACTTGTCAACTCTGATTTCTCGATCCATGAGGCAGGGATGCAAATAACAGCACACGGTTCCAGCATTTTACATCCTTCCCTCTCACAGTATTTCCCCTTTTACAATTCCCTTAGTACTTGCTCGTAAAGAAAATACAGCTCAAGACTTCCCAGCAAACTTGGGGGATCCACCTGACCCCCTGAAATGGGGGTTCACACCCTCATCTGTGCTACAGGGCACAGCTACACCTTTCTTTCCATCACAACTAGCAAGGAAAATGGAACTGGCATTTACCAGCCACTTAAAAAGGTACAGGAAGAGTTCAGCCACAGATGCTTAGTGGTGGGGTTTCTTCTCATAAAGAAAACTTAATTTCAGCATTCATCAACGGAGTTACAGCAGCAGCAGCAGCAGACAAGCGCTCCCGTGCCAGCAGAGCTTTGCTGTCTTACCTTCACATTGGGCGTGTAGATGTTCCTGAGGGAAGCAAGGGCTGCGGACAGTCCGTCAGTGCTGTAACCAACCCACAAGGCTTGCAGGTGACTGGAAGAAATTCCAGTCCTTTTACTGAGACCCTGACAGAAATGATACAACAGGAAATCTTTCTAAGGGATTAGAAATCCTATTACTATCGACATCTCATCAATACAAAGAGAAGCCGCAACCGCTTTGTTAGCACTACCCAGTACTTTGCATAAGCTTCTAGCAAATCACAGAAGCAATTCAGAGGAGAATCTCTAGGATACAGTCATATGAAGAGGTCAGAAAACCTATTACGCTGTAAGCTTTACCTTAAAAATGTGAGCTTTAAGTATATGGTGACCAAGTTCCATAGTTTGTTGGCGGTTTAACTTTCCCTCTTGTCGGGAAAACATGAAAGCCAGTAGAGCATGTCCATTCCTAGTAAAAAGGATTAAGAGAACTGCTTTTATAACCCGTGAATATCCTAGCACCTCTGTATGCCTGTCAGAATAGCTCACCTTCGTTAAGACAGCTGAAGGATACCATTACATCTAAATGAAATCCTTTCAATAATGAAAGACACAAAGAGAAAAAAGGCAAATTTCAGAGCTGAAACACATTCCTAAAATTTCTCTCCTGCCACCTCACAAGAGAGTCGGAACCAGGGCAGCTCTGACACCGATTTTCACACTGCTCCCCTTCAGTCTTGTTCCATCTCACAGCCAGAAACTGCAGGTACCTCAGATAAAACCTGATCATTTTAGGAGAAGATCTGAATCCTTTTGAAACTTGAGATAAAAAGTGTACTTAGTAATTCTGCATCTACATAAAAGTCAGCAGCCAGTGATCTAGGAAACAGTGGAAACGGCATAACCCTCAGAAAATAAAGTTATCATATACTATACATTAATGAGATTATATACTGGAACTGGACAATTAACCACATGCTAAGTAGACTGCTCATCTGGGGATGAAGTTGCAGAGGACTTCTCACATCACCTGCAGAAATTCCTGAGCTGGCCTTTTCAAAACCAGAAGCTTTAAGTAAGACTGGGCAAGGCTGGAGCATGCGCTGCCCGTCGGGTATGTGAGGGCACGGGCATCGCTTGCCACGCTCGGAGACAGCAGGAGCCCAACCCAGGCAGCTTCACCTGCTCAGCCGCTTTGTTAGATCCACTTGAAAGCACAGAGAAGTCTTGGATCAGTGATAATTTTAAATGTTGGTGTTATTTATTCTTTTGCAAAGACAAAAAACCTGAAACCTTGAAGAATAAGAAAAAAGGGCAGGTGCAGACTGTGAGACAGCGCATGTACAATAACAGCCTACCATCCGCAGTTTAACTAATTCTTGCTCTCTAAGCCAAAGAAGGTGAGATGCAAATAAGGCCAGGAGGATATAATGATAGAAGAAAATGTCTTAACTTTTTTTATGTTTAAGAGAGCCCAAATGATCAGTTCCTTCTATTCCTGCACTATAAACAGACAAGGCGCTGCTGCACATAATTCTCATCAATTTTACCATATCAATAAAAACATAGTGCTCTCATTTCTCCATGAATGTAGCAAAGTCAAATGCAAATCCACAAATTCTACAAAGTCAGTTAGGCATTCCAGACTCTGATACTTCTGGTCAAGTCTACTTCTAAACATATACAAGTTTTCATTTTGGAAAAAAGTGGACATGCTTGTGTTTTAACACTACTCTTTCCTCTGACCAATTGTTGTAACCAATTGCATAAAACAAAACTGCAGTTATTTGACCACAATTTACAGTAGGTTTCATTTACCTTGGCTCACACAAGAAGTCAGTATTTTCGCCGTCTGCTCTCCAAACCAGCCATTCCCGGAAGGAAGGATGGCAGAACATGCGCGTTTTGTCACGCCTCTTTATCAGAAAACATGACAGGGCTTCCATCCTCTGGCTGAAGTCTTCCCATTGTTGCTCTCCATTTATCTGGCCTGCATTAATAGCTTGGAAAATCTGCTCATCTGTCATAGGGTGCAGGGATGCCAGCGCCACGTTTAGTATGGGCAGGGCTCGCTCAAAAGCCGAGTTTGTCATGAACTTCATGTTGCACTGAAGCAAGTACAGTTCTGAGAGAGACACTGGAACAACCTTGTAGCTTGCACTTTTGATTACTAAGTGACCTTTTTGGAAAAGATCCAGAGTGAGTTTCAGATAGAGATAAGATCCCAGGCTTCTCATGATCAGGTGGTTACTCACTTTCCCAATAATAGCTGCATCAGCTTTTCCATTTAAAGATATGTTGTTTATAATTTCCTGGCTGTTACTAATTCTGTACTGAATATAGGCATTCAAGTCATCATGAATTTCCTTGTTGTCTGGAAAATTGTCCAGGGATATTGCAATAAAGGGCAGTGAATTTACTACTTCCTGTGAGGGGGAGAGAGGGGAAAAAAAAGTAAGAAAAACCCCTAACCACACAGATATTACAGCAGTCCAGCACTGAAGGCACAACAAGATAGACCGCCTTCATAGGAAGGCCTCAAGTATTTTCCTGACCAAACTCAGCAAGGCAACTGAAGGGGATAAGCTATAGAAATAATCAAAATGAAAGGAACAGAAATCAGTTACCAGAGTTGGAGCTGAGGACAGGCTGTGGAGGGGGGAGGAAGAAGGAATGATCTATTAGGAAGGAATGATTTATCAATAAATACCATGAACAACAAGAGAGAAAAGAATCTCCTCCTCGTTACATCTTTCAGTAACGTCGCACCAGAAGGGCGCCACCCACGCCTCCACCGCCCCGCTCAGTTTAATGCAAGTGTCAAGTACAGCACAGACACTGCCAACAGCTTTACCTCAGTGGTTTTATGTTTATGTCACACAGAACACACGTATGCTTATGTAAACAAAGTTTCAAAGGTCCTAAAGCTTCTTACACAGAAGCATGTATCAGAAGGGTTTAATGCCTTTGCAACACAAAAAGGAACCCTCTATTTCACTTTAAAGTAGCTATGCAGATTTCAAAAAGCTAAATTTTGAGGCTAGTGAGATGTTTTGATCACAGACACACGCTTGTACAGAGAGGAAACAACCCCTGCTACAGAAATCCTTTCATAAAAATAAAAAATTGCATCGAGAACTAAACTCCTCAGGCAGTTAAATGTTTAGTCCCAGTGGCAAGGAGGCAGCACTGGCAGAGCTGGGTCTCAAGAGCTGTCACATAAAGGGTATGATCTCAGAGACACGGTAAAAGCCCAAACCAGACACACTGTCTTTTTTCAACTGAACTGAACCGAGGGCAACTATCTTAAAACAGCCTGACTAGTGCTGGAAACGAAACCAAAACTGCATTCAGAACATTGCTGTCCAGCACAGAAAAACAGGAATTCTGTATGGTCTCCCTTAAACTCACTCAGGATTTCTGCAAATATCTCTCAGTTGCTTAATTCTGACAAAATGTTTTAACCAGAAATTTTGAGGCTCATTTTTTTCAGGGGCAGCAAGAAGATACAGAGGTGCAAAGAGATCAGCGGCAATAAGGCCAGAAATCAATTTCATCAACATAGACAGTGGAACTGTGGCTTATCTCTTCCTAAAAATTGAAGGCCCAGAGCTTAGTATCAGCAGAAATACACTCCAACATGTAAACATTGGAAGAGAAAATCATTATGGGGTTCTAATTTTATTTTTTTAAGCTTTCAACCATTCATCTGCCCATTTCACTCTTGAAGGCCAAGGAAACATACTCTGATATCACCCCTTCTCGTATGATCTATAGATTCTACTAGCATGCTCAAGAAAGTGCTTTGAACCAAAAATGCCTCCACTATCATATTTGTGCTCTGTAAATAAACATGCAACAAGAAAGGAAGGAAGGAAAAAACCCCAAGAGACTCTGAATTCCTCTGAACTCAGTATTTTCATAATAATAATGCAGCTGCACCAACCTAAAAGCTCACTTAAGTCTTTGTGGGTGAGAAAAAAGTTAAGTCTTATTTACCTGGAAGTTAGTTCTTACAGTCACAACCAGCTTCAGCCAGGGAGGAAACTTACAGATGATGCTTGCGATAAATGAAGAAAGTGTGTCACCATAATCAGGTTTATGAAATTCTGCATCATTTAAACCATCTATCAAAATTATGTAGTCATCCTCAGGAATTTTCTGCTCTGAAATATGAAAATAACAAAGGAAAGGATGAGCATAAAAATATGTTGCTCAATAGGAGAATTTAACTCCAAATTTTGAGCATCAAGAAATTAAAAAACCTATCATTATGCACAGAAATACATTTTATGGCAGATGTTAAAAGATTAAAAAGGCTGTTAACATAAGAGATGCATGGATACAGGAAGACATATGTAAGTTAAACAACTAATTAATACTACTTTCAATGATTAGTTATTTATGTAAAACTTATCCTTTATTGGACTTACCAAACAAAAACAAAGTTTGTAATTTGCAAAAATCAAAAAGGCATTGGTTAACACTGTCAGTTCTGAGGAGAAAAGGTTATTCTGCAACAGCTTCAGAAACCAGCAATACTAATTAAGGACGAAATTTCCAGGGGTAAATATAAGATTTGCCAATGGATTTCACAGGAATTTTGTTGACTGTCAAAAAATTCGAGAAGCGCAGAGCAGTTTCCATAGGACACGTGTGAACGCGCTCTGCTCACACATCAGCAAATCCCCTGCCCTGGCGTGCCACAGACCAAGGACCTGCTTGAGCTGGCACACACTGTGTGGCCACCTGCTTTCAAGGGGGAGCTGGCAAATTTTTTTTTAAATAAGAAAATCATTTGTGACATACTTCCTTGGAAAACTGTCATATCAATTTTAAAAGCTAGCTAAATCCACATCCACTTTGCAAGTGTTTAGGCACAGAAGACTACAAACCAAAAAAGCATGGAAAAACTCAAGAGCATCTGAAAACAAAATTCTTTAATGCAAATCTGCTGGCCCTAAGTTCAGGCTACAAATTTAGCTTTGAGTTTTCTGAGGGAAAGGAAAAAAGGAATAAAAAAAGTAAAGTTTCCACAGTCCTTAATAAATTTCATAGAACTTTATTTAAAACATGAAACAACTGGTCAAAACCTACCTATTATTGTTACAAACAAGTACTACAATTACGGAATCCCTTTCTCCAGGAATGTTCTGCTTTGTTTCTCTTTGAAAACTAAAATATGTATTCTTAAGACATCTTTTCATTTTTTATGCAGTTTAGATTCAGTTTCCAAGTCACCTCCTGCTTAACCTACCTTTCCTGAGGTTTGAAAGTGGCTCCAACACTCCCCTTTTGAAGGCTGCTGCTGGGTCTTGGACACAAGATCTCAGGCTGAGCATGCTCTGCAAGTGAGGCTCTTTGATCAGGAGATCTCTATACGCTGTTAATTGATTTGAACGACACAGTAAAGCTGCAGTGCTGTGCACGAATTCTGGGACAAGACACGTGTATGTGTTGTCAGCTTGACAGTAGTGATAAGCGACGACCTGGAGAATTAAAAACAACAGTGTTATCCCTTACAACATCTAAGCTGGTTACTAGTTAGTCCAATTATGACAAAGTGTTACTAAATTCCTCTTTAACTACAAAATATCTTCTAACAAAACTGTGTCACGCACTGTAAAGACCCAAGGACTGAGCTGATCATCATGAAGCAAAAGTAAATGACAGACAGCTATTAAAGACATCCCCATAGAACAAACAAAGACAACTGGCTTTATTTTGAGTGTATTACTCAAAGGTGCGTATTACCTAAAAATAAAACAAAACATGGGTCATGTTTCTTTGAAAAAAAAACAAAGCACAAAGAAAACAGGGTGTTCATAGTAAATAAAAAGTTTGCACTTCAATGGCTTTCACAACACTGTTTCCAAATAATACACATCACCTTAAAGTCTGCAACAATCACTTCATGTTTTTGTCCTGGGTTTAGCTGAAAAAAACCCAGTCCTGTTTAGTGATTTTCACTTTTCAGTTTAGTCTCTTCTCAAAGGCTGCACGTTCTGAAGTCAGCAGCATGTTTTTGCAGACAGTGTGTGCTACTGGCAAGGACAACACCTGACGTTTACAGTTACTGCCTGGGACTGGGATGCAGACAGGCTCTTGCTGATACTTACTCCTACAGCAACAAAGGCCACTGCTGGCTCTTGTGTGCCACGCTGGGGGTGCTGGGTAGTAAAGGGGGGTCACAAGGAAGTAAAAGGTTGCACCTCCAGGGGGTAATAGACAGGACAGGTGACCAACGAGAGTATTCCATCCCATATACGTCATATTTAGTATAAATGGAGTGATCGTGAGAGTTTTGCCCCCTTTTCCCTTCTTCTTTGCCCTTTTACTGCAATGGCCGGTGTCCAGAGAGGACTCCATCTGACCTCCTGCTTTTGATCCGGATCCTGAGTTCCCAAATCCAGCTCCCTGTATCCAGCTCCCCATCCAGCTCCCGCCGCTGCTGAGCCTGGGGCTTCCCCAGTGCCTCCTGCTCTGCAGCACCAGTGGTGCTTGCTATCAGGGGAGGGAGCTGGGTTTGATATCGGGCTATTATCTATAGTTGTATATAGTTCTTTACTTTTATCATTCCACTATTGTTTTCTATTATTATTGTTTCATTAAAGCTGTAGTAGTTTTTTTTTTTCTTCTCTAACCCAAAAGTCTCTCTGCTTCATTCCCTTCTCCTTCCCATTTGGGGGCAGGGAAGAGGGGGTTAGAGAGCGTCTGTCCGTGTTAGCGGCCGGCCCAGCCCTAACCCACCACAGTTTTCCTCACAACTATTTAAACTATTTTTACTACTTAGGCAAACAGTAAAACACAAGAGAATAAGTTTATAGAATCCCAGAATCCTAGAATGGCCTAGGCTGGAAGGGACCTCAGAGATCATTTAATCCAACCTCCCTGTCATGGGCAGGGACGCCTCTCAACTAGATCAGGCAACACATGGGGACCGAACACGGATCGAACCCGCGGCCTCGGCGTTACCAGCACCACGCTCTAACTGACTGAGCTAACTGGCTTAGATTGGAACTTAGGAAGAAATTCTTCGGCATGAGGGTGGCAAGACTCTGGACTAGACTGCCCAGAGAGGCCGTGGCTGCCCCCTCCCTGGAGGTGTTCAAGGCTGGGTTGGGGGAGGCCTTGAGCAACCTGGGCTGGTTAAGGGTGTCCCTGCCCATGGCAGGGGGTTGGATCAGATGATCTCTGAGGTCCCTTCCAACGGGAATCGAACCTGCGACCTTAGCGCTGTTAGCGCCATGCTCAACTGACTGAGCTAACCGGCCCCTTAAGGATATAGATGAATTATACGCAGCCAAAGCATTTTACCTGTAGAGAACACACAGCCCCTTTTGCAACCTCCCATACAAACCTAAGACAGATGTGAAGCTTTTAACAGAACCAAGCAGAACTCAAGCACTAACTGGAGCAGTGGGACAGGCAGGCAGCCAGGCTCCCTGCCCAGAATGCTCGCGTCCTCCAGAGATGCCCAAGGCTGCTGCTGCCCGCTCTCTGGCACACCCAGCAGCACTCGCGGCCCAGCTCCCCCCATGTCAGAGGGTTTCTAACACACCGAAAACCTGTTAGTAGGTGAGCACGCACCTTCGAAGCAAGGCGTCGCACACAATCACCTGCTGGGTTCTGGTATTCAGGAGTACCAGGGCAATTCAGAGTCTTCGTTGTGTTGGTGCTGCTCGCTGGAAGAGCAGATGGGGGTAACTGACTCAAGGGAATCTCCTGACAGGAGTCACCACCTGTTTATCAAAGAAAACAAACACAAAAGAGACCTAAGTTGGCGATAGCAGAAAACAACATGGAATATTTTTACTGCTAGAATAAAAATTAAAACCTGAACAACAGCATTAAAAAAGTGCCTGCAACTAGTCTGAGTAATAGAGGCACACATTTGCAACTTTACCATTTTAAAACAACTGACTGCTAGATCAAAACTACAGAATTACTGAAAGCAAAATCAAGAGTTTCCTTATGAAAATTACATATGTCATGACTCATTTAAACTAACAGTTATTATACAACTGAACTCTTGGGAAATCTAAGGTATTACTATTATTATTGTCAGCAGGGGAAGCAGCAGTAGGGACAGGCACAGCATCCTTCCATTTACCACAGGCATGGGACCAGCCAGGTGACAGAATTCTACAGATTCCAGTAGAAGATAGAATAGGTTTCTCCACAGCTTTGCTCTTGCCTGCACTAAAATTCGACAGAAAACACCTGGCACTGAAAAGTGTGTGGTACACAGCAGGGAAGAAACTCATCATTGCTCTTTCCAAACGTGTGGGAGAACAAGCTACTACAGACACGCTTCCCACCAAGTCGAGGGTACACATTGCCTGAAATGAGGAATAGATTCTATGTATTGTCTCTATTCTACCACCTCTTGGATGGGCTCGGCCTATGCTGTATTACATTTTTAAGTGTCCTTTCCTCACTGAAGGAAACAAGTATTTGCTGCAGAGTCGATGAGGCCTGACTACCTTCAGCCGAAAAAGTGAACAACCTTTGAGTCTTGTCATCACAGTACAATTACTCAACCATTGACTCAGAAGAGGAACGTACTTTTGGGGGATGAATTAGAGCTGTTTGAAGCTATTTGCCTCATGCGACTTCCATGGCAGCTAAGCGCCACCAGCCGTGAAATCACTGCAGTCTTCCCAAACCCCACATTTCCTGTAATGACCGCTCCCCTGCTCTCCGCTGGGTCGGGACTCTTCAGTGCTTCTTCAATCGCGTGAAATAGCCACTCTCTTCCAACAAACACCGAATCTGTTGTTATGCTTGGCACTTCAAACAATAGCGGCTTCCGCAGGATGTCCTGAGGCTTATAGGGGATGAAACGAGCTGAGAACAGGTGGTAGGGAGAAAAGTTTATTAGAAGAACTCAACATGCAATAAACCAGCACTATCTCAGTACATCACTGCATTCAGCGACCTTGTTAACAGTCCTCATAAACAGGGGTTTTAGAGCTTTCATCATGGAAATAATAAAGCCTTATTTGCCCCATTCAGGTCACCTCCATAATTCCCATGAGTTAAATTCTAGAGGAGAGAAGTTACAAATATAATTTGAGTTTTGGAGTTTTTTTGTTTTGGTTTTTTGTTTGGTGTTTGTTGGTTTTTTTTTCACAATTGAACTTGAGTTAGTAAGTTGCAGAATCCAATAGTTTTCTTCGAAGAGAAAAAGGTACCAAGATCAGTTTTCCTCCTAAAACAGAATTCTAATGACAGCCTCTTGAAGATTTTAAATTCAGCACACTATTTCTGAAGTTGTAGCACGTCACATGATAAAACCTGACAGATGAGAAAATATTCAGTACAGCTCCTGAACACCAGTACTATAAATATGGAGATTCATGTGATCTCCACTGTGCTGACCATGCACACATAGATAAACAACATACTGATTTCTTATTAAAAGCCATACGTTCAGTTTCTAAACCTGTCAGGAGCACTCCAGATTAAACACTTGGGCCAGCATTTACAAAGATCACAGAATACCCACAGCACGAAACTCCTGAAGAACAGATGCTGATGTGAAGCCACATACCTTTACTTTCCTGCTGCGCTCTTCCACCAGCAGTGTTGTGCCAAGGCAAGCGGATTGAAGTGCGTAAAGGAGTATTTCTTTGTCCATCCAGATAACTCAGATCTTCCAGTTTGGTTGAACTTGTTGCTAGAGTACAAAAGGGTTGAAGCTTATTTTTCTCTTGGCATAAGGTACAAAGAACGCTACTACTTATTACAGTTCTTTCCTCAATGTAGTACTTACCTTAAGCCTTTCTAGGTAACGGCAGTGGTTGAAGTAATTCATGTTACAACATTTACGAAGTGCGTTTCAATCAAGTTCACCAATGGTTTTGGTGGATTTTTCCCCCTTCAGATGGCTCTCACGTCTGCCTTAATTTCCTCACATGCTAAACATTTCTCATGTTACTGTGGTTTCCTTTTTTACTAGAAGAACAACTGTATCAGATATTAGCTACTTGTACACTATCTGTGAGAAAATATCTATATTCTTTTTGTGTTGAATGCTACAGAATTCTAGATAGCATTTTTTTATTCAATTTTTAAACCAAAAATGATAGCTATACAAAGGAAGAACTGAAAATCCAGAGAACTTCTCTGCCAAGTTACATCAGTGATATATACTTTCTCACCAGAAATGAACAAAATGAATATTCACGTTTTAAAAAGCAGTTTTCAAACTGGTATCAAATCCAAAATCTTCCATCTGTTGGAGGGCCAACACAGCAGGGCGTAAGCAATTCATATTTCTGGAGTGCACTGACAACAACTTCCTGACAGAGACAACTGAGAAGCCAAAAATGAAAGATGCTCTGCTGGATCCCATACAAACAAGGAAGAACTTGTCATGGGTGTGAAATCTGTGGGCAGTCCTGGCTGCAGCGACCATGGGACGGTGGAGTTCAGGATCCTAATACGAGACAGTAGAGCGAAAAGCAGGAGCTGCTTCAGAGCTCTGCTTGGCAGAATCCCCTGCCATGTAGTTCTGGAGAGAAGAAGGATCCAGAAGAGCTGGCTGACACAAGAATAACCTCCTGCAGGCTCAAGAAAGGGCCATCCTGGCAAGCAGGAAGTGAAGCAGGTCTGGCAGGAGGCCCCCATGGATAAGCAAGGAGCTGAACATGAGCTGGATGGGGCTTTGTGGCGGATGGATGTTGTCTACTCTGACTTTGGCAAGGCTTCTGACACTGCCTCCTGTAACACTGTCATGGACAAGTTGATGAAGCACAGGTTACACATGTGCACGGTGAGGTGGGCCCAAAACTGGCCGCATGGATGGGGACAGAGGGTGCGATCAGTGGCACGCAGTCCAGCTGGAGGGACCTCACTAGTGGTGTACTCCAGCAGTCACCATGGGGTCCCAACATCTTCATTTATGACCCACATGATGGGACAGAGTGCAACCATGTTTGAAGCTGATAGCAAACTGGGAGGATGATTGAGCTGCATTCCGAGGGACCTTGAGAGGCTGGAGAATGGCACTGAGTGCAATCTCATGAAGTTCAACCACGGGAAATGTGAAGTTCTCCAGCCGAGGAGTAACCCCAGGCATCAGTACACAGTGGGGGCTGTCTGGCTGGAAAGCAGCAGTACAGAAGATCCTGGGGTCCCAGTGGTAAGCAAGCTCACCACAAGACTGTAATGCACCCTCGTGGCAAAGGCAGCCAGCAGCACCCTAGGCTGCGTTAGGAAGAGTGTGTCAGGCAGGTTAAGGAAGGCAATTCTCCTCTGCTCAGCACTGGGAAGACACACCTGCAGTATTGTGTCCAGCTCCGGGATCCCCAGCACAAGATTCCCGAGCATTAACTGAGTATCAGGGAACTCGGAACTACAGGTCCAAGACGTGAACAGGGCCTGCAGTGGGATGCACAAGGCACTTGGTACTAAAGTGGCAGAAGTCCAGCTGAAAATTAAAGTCCAGCCTGAACATTAAAGTCCAGCCCAAATCTACAGCAACAAAAAAAATCCTGAATGCAACTGATGAATACCAGAGCAATGAAATGAAAGAATTTAAAGATTGGAGAAAGGACCAGAGGAAAAAAAAAGCCAATGCTCCTGTGGATGTCACTTCAAAAATATGAGACGTTGGGCAGAATTCCTTTGCAAACTGGGAGGGAGGTGTCAGCTTTGAAGTGGGTTTGCTCAGCTTTGAACAGACATGGTTAAGGCAGCAGCCTGTTGTCATTCTTCACCCAATAGGAGGACACAATCGGACTCCTCTTGGAGGGCCACAGTAACAGCGTGTCAGGCAACAAACACTGTTTGGAACGCAGGAAACACACACTAGATATAAAGGGAAAAAAACAGGATACAGAAACAAGCTCCTCGATGGCATGGGGGGAAATATTCATCCCTGTACTTAATCAATACCCAGCTAAACAAGGCCCTGAACAAACTGCTCTGATTTGATGTGCTTCCAGTGAGACAGTGGGCCAGAAACCTCCAGGGGTCCCTTGCCACCTGGAGTAGTCTATGCTTTTCTAACACTTGGAAAACTCCTAAGTCTCTAAGAAGTGAAAACTAAAAACTGAGGATCTGCACTTCAGATCGCTGTAACAAGGGAAGCGCAGTCCTCTTTGGCAACAAAGCCATTTAGTTCAGAGAGAAATTCCCCGAGATTCATGCAGTAGTGCTGTAACATCCATGATAGGAAGGTGGTTGCTGCTTCCTCCCGTCATGTCCTAGAGTCAGCAAAACTAGTGTCCATCCTCAAAAGACACTAGTTTTAAACAAACATGTAGATCTATCACATGGAAAAACCACCAATCACACGCAAGCAATTCAAATGCTCCAGCTGATAACTGGGGCAGAACATGAGCTTGACATATGGTGCAGAGTTGGAATATCATCTTCGTCACGTTCATGAACTACCAAGTTTTCTTCAGAAGACAGTAATGTAAGATAAAAGGAAAAGCAGGAGTATGGCACGGTTGTGGTCAATGTCAAAACTCCAAAACAGGAAGTGAGACGTAATAGAAGCAGAAGCAGTAACAGCAAGACACAAGTCAGTGATTCCTAAAACAACACTCCTGCTCTTCTAGCAGGGATTGGAGGTGTGGCAACTTCCAATCCCAAGTTCATCCAGGAAAAACTTCTTCCATTACCCTTATCTGCAATGGATACTGCAGATTAATTATTCAATTTCTGGCATGCGTAGCACAAGCATACAGTTTTTAAAGAGAAATATATAACACTGGCTTTCAAAAGCCAGAAAACCATCATTTACAACTTTAAAAGCACACGAGATCTCACAAAAATCTGTAGTCAAAATCTCTCCACTATCAGACAGCAGAACATTGGAGATCAGGATACTACATTTCCTTTGACATGGCACAATCTGTACAGAGCATTAACTTTTCAGCACTATAAAACTATAACTCAGTTCATTTAACAGCCAAATTGCAGATAGGTCAAGCTGTTTTCAAAGCAGAGTCAGAATCTGTAATTTTCTAACTATGTAAAACAGGTAGAGACATGAAAATTCATTGTGATTGTTTGCTGCTGTCACTGAAGACATTTGCTTTTGTCAATGGGATGATTCTAATGAATGCACGGAGCAGGAAGCCAGAAAGCTTTGTGCTGTGAAAACAGCAGTTTCATAGAGAACCATGGACTCTCCCTCTCTCCCTGTGAACCTGGGCATTATTGTATTTGTATCATTATGTGTTGCTGTAAAATAATCCTTCAACTGCAGAATTTTGAAACAATGTGCTAATAACTTTCATGGTATTTTAAAACCTCAAATGATCTCTAGTAAGACTGCAGTGTATGCTTCAGTATCTTTCATGAAGCATTCTAAATGTAGGACTATGGGTTTTTTAAAAGCTTTGGATTTTAGCTCTTAAAGACAAGTCCTAAGTCCTCGATACTATTTCCTGAGCTGCACATTAGTGTCTTTTTCTGTTGCAAATTCAATATATTACAATTTGTTGAACTCTTCTAAAATAAACACATCATATGCTTCCTTTGTGTGAGTGAACCCATTATATACTTCACAACGAAAACGCAGAACTAGTGCTGAAATTACAATCTATAAACCTTCCAAAACGTAAATGGGCGTTGTCAGAACTTACAGGATTCTCACCAGAACTGCTAACATGACCTTTGTCAAAATTTTGCCACCGACAATTTCAAAAGTCACTTTACTAGCAATAGTTCCCCTATACATCTTCTCATACTAAGAAAATGCCACACATCAATATTTGTTTCATCTTTTATACTAAAAATGCTCCCTTTTACTGATAACATTTTCTAGCTGGAAAGAAGTATAACACCCTCCCCTCTTCCCTCTAGGAACCACCAATGCCCAAGCCCTAACCTCATTGCTGATGTTTTCTTCACTCTGCATTTACCAAGTTTTTAACTTAAAATTTTTAGTCCGCTAAGCCTAGCGCCACGTGCACAGCACCCATGCTTTGCTGGGGGGTTACGTTTAGGTAAGTCAATTGCCCATTACTGTATTAGAAGGGGGGTGGTTAGTAGGTCACGAGAGGTTCTCCTTCCTCTCTACTCTGCACTGGTGAGACCACATCTGGAATATTGTGCCCAGTTCTGGGCCCCTCAGTTTAAGAAGGATAAGGAACTGCTGGACAGTCCAGCGTAGAGCAACCAAGATGATTAAGGGAGTGCAGCACCTCCCTTATGAGGAAAGGCTGAGGGAGCTGGGTCTCTTTAGTTTGGAGAAGAGGAGACTGAGGGGTGACCTAATTAATGTTTATAAATATGTAAGGGGTGAGTGTCACGAGGATGGAGCAAGGCTCTTCTCGGTGACAACCAATGGTAGGACGAGGGGTAATGGGTTTAAACTGGAACACAAGAGGTTCCACCTAAATTTGAGACGAAACTTCTTCTCAGTAAGGGTAACAGAACACTGGAACAGGCTGCCCAGGGAGGTGGTGGAGTCTCCTTCTCTGGAGACATTCAAAACCCGCCTGGATGCCTTCCTGTGTAACATCGTCTGGGTGTTCCTGCTCCGGCGGGGGGACTGGACTAGATGATCTTTTGAGGTCCCTTCCAGTCCCTAACATTCTGTGATTCTGTGATTCTGTGTGACTTTGGAGGGCTCTACTAATAGATTTCAAGTCTGAGATTTGTCTGTTTCACAATGACTGATGTGTTAAGAAGTCCTGACCTAAGCAATAATTACTAAAAACTGTGTGACGATTTTAAACAACCTAGGTAACGCTTATCCAGTGAGTTTAGAACTTCTGCTGTCTTCTCTTTGTCCTGTAAGAATACATTCACACTAACAACGTAACTTGAATGAATGCCTTATCATGAAAAACATAATTTTTTCTACCTCGGGACTTTACCTGCAACAGAGTTTGGACGAGGCATTATTAAAGAGCCAGAATTTTGAGCATAAGGAACGGGACCCTCTCCCACTGGTACTTCTTTTGGCAAGTTCTCAGAAGATCCAACAGCCTCCTCTTCTGCAACTGGCGAACAATTATCTGTTCTTCGATCATGACTAATCCCTTGATGTTTTCCAGCTCTGAGACTCCCATCCTTGCTCCATTCCAAACTGGATCCACTACGATCATCATTTTCTGATGAACTTGTTATAGTTGCTGAAAAAGGAAAAAGAAACAGCTAAAGCACACATGACAGGAAAATGGTGCACTCACGTTAATAGGTCTTATAATTTTCATATTCAAACGGCATTTTGGGCTAGCAGATACTCAATTATTTTTTCACCTGATACTTTCTTAAATGTAAGTAATATTATTAATCTAAAAGAGTAAGAAAACACCTCAGAAAGGAGGCAAGCAAATGATCTGAAGAATCCAGATGTATCTTTAGATTTATGTAATTTCTGCTGAGGGGAAAGAAAAACAAAACCCAAACCACAAAACTAACCACCAAAACATTTACGACTTTATAGGAAGAACCTACTACTTCACCAAAACATTTCAAGTTCTTTTAGAAATTAAAATTCTATAATGTATCTTGCAAATTTTCAAACCATTCTTTAAACACAGAGACAAGCTCACTAACAAGTAAAAATAGCATCTAGAAAAAAATAATTAAATGCATCTTTTTAAAATTCACTTTTTCAAAACTACTATTTCACAAAAAGAATTCAAAACTCAGTTATCTGAAAAAACTTACGCAGTTCTTCCAAAGTTGGAAGGCTTTCCACAAGCCCACTTGTGACCAAACATTCTGTATATTGTGAAGCATAAACCGTAAAAATCCAGTGTTCAGTGATCTAGGTCACCTAAACCAGACAGCTCAGCGTCACTGGGATGGCAAGCAGCCTGCACTCGCATGCTGGCAAACTCCTCTGGAGAGGAAGCTCCCAGCTCCTGAGCTATAGCCCACTTCTTTGTTAAGCACCTGCTGCCCTTCAGGGTCAGTGAGAGCGCACAGGGCCAGCTCCATGTGCGCGCAGACCCCGCAGAGCACAGGAACAACATCTCCAATTCCATGAAACATTCTGATTCCGGTTTTTTAAGTGCAGTGCAGTATAAAGTAAATAAGAGGCTCACATAAAGGCTTTTGTTTGCTTGTTTCTGATGTCATTAAAAACCAGCCAGAAAACATTTACAAATAATTTCTCAATACTTTGCGAAACCTCTTGGCAGTAAGACACCCTTTTCTCGCAGTGAAACCTTCAGAGGCCGCAAAACAACCAACACACAGCTAGACAAATCCCCAGCTACCCCACAACTCGAGACCACGGAGGTGGTTTTGGATGCTGCGTTACTGAACAGCAGCTTTCCACTGCTGCAGCGACTCCCTCGGGGGAAGCTGAGAGAACACCGGCGGCGTTAGCCAGAGAGCTCCAAAGAGTCCATCCTGGTGGCTGAGGGTTATTAGAGAGCATCTCAGTGCCTCAAGACTGTAGTCAGTCAAGGCCTCCTGCAACAACTGAAGGCGTGAAGGATTTATACTTCTAAAGACATACTTGAGCAATGTTTGAGAAAACTATGCTAATGTGCTCATGTAAGAGCACTTTGCAAATACATAGCGGTTTTTGTTACGCTTCATAGTGAAATTACTCCATTTCATTTAAAAGGTTTTCAGTACTTACATTAAACTCTCACAAAACAACTAAATTACAAATATTTATTAGAGGTTGAACCAAGACTCAACGTATTTTGAACACTTGAAGGCAACAGAGTAAAATACAAAATTGGATGAAAGGGCATCAGGATAAAAAAAAAATAAAGAATCAATGCCAGTTCAAATTATAGTATCTATGTGAAGTGTGGGTCCTCCCCAAGCTAACATGTTAAATGTTAAAGGTATATATGTGGTAATTCCAAATTCAGCAGACCAAATCATGAAGTAAGACATGTCAGCACCTCAGACCACTACCAAAATGCAAATGCGAGGACCGCTGCTTAGAACTCGGGGGCTTGTCCAGGCAGAAGCATCGCCAGCTCTTCTCTCACATCAGCTGCACTGTGTGGAGGAGGGGAGGCTGAGGGGGGATCTCATCAGTGCTTGTAAATCTCTAAAGGGGGGTGTCAGGAGGATGGGGCCAGGCTCTTTTCAGCAGTGCCCAGGACAGGCAGCAATGGGCACAAGCATGGAAACAGGAGGGTCAGTCTAAACACAAGAAAATACTCCTGTGCTGTGCGGGTGCCGGAGCCCTGGCCCAGGCTGCCCAGAGAGGGTGTGGAGTCTCCTGCTCTGGAGACTTTCAAACCCACCTGGACACGTTCCTGTGTGGCTGCCCTGGGTGACCCTGCTCTGGCAGGGGGTGGCACTGGGGGATCTCTAGAGCTCCCTTCCAAACTCTGTCATTCAGCCTTGCAGGATGATGAGGTACTTCTACAACTTTGCATTCTTCGAGCCTAGCTTAACATTCACAAGAAATTTAAGATATGATGCTTAAATTCAAGAGCTTGTATTGCAAGAAATACAAATATATGACATATGTTTCAGTGGCAACAGACAAAAGAGCTTTTCAGGCATGCCATAAACCTTTGCACACAGATTAGACCGTACTTCCGTATGACAAATCTATTTCATTGTTATGATCACGTCAAAAAAATCTGGCTCCTCCTGAAGTATGAAGTGTTTAAATCTATGACTCCTCCTGGAGTGAAATGTAGCATCAGGAAATATTGCTGCTCAAGATTTCCATAACGAAACAGTGGCAAGTATCCAAAAAAGCCTACATTTTGGCCAGCAGCCCAGTCTTCTCCTACTTGGCTCACTGCTGAAGATTAAGACCTGCCTCCACTTCTATTATGTCAAACTCAATAGAAGCAAAGAAGAATTCAACTATAGCAGTAAAACATCAGAAAACTGAAATGAACACAAACCATAAGTAAAAAAGTGGGAAAGGGAGAAAAGAGAGATTTCCCATCAGAGTCTGCTGGCCCAGAGAACACAGTGGGAGAAGAAATACAACAGAAGCCCACAGAAGCAGGACGAAAGAGCAAGCTATTTTCATGGCTGGACAAACTCTGTCAGAAGACAGGAGAAAACCATATACTTGCGAAACATAACTTAAAATACACATTTACTACTAATAACAAATTTGAATGCACTTATATTGGAAAAAACAAAAACATGGGCCATTTATCAGAGATATGCTTCTTATTTCTTTCCTTGGCTTCACGCCTTTACAGACGTAAGGGGTGCTGCCATGGGTTGCTGAGGGACACGGGGTGTTCAAATCCTTCCTTGATTTGAGATATGAGTGACAGCTCCGCAGAACCGCAGCAAACGATTTTCATATGGTCCCATGATGATGAACCACACATACCTGACAGAAGGAGCTACGCAGGAGTTGTCTCCCACCCTCCTATCCTCTGTTTTTTTTCCTACCCCTGCTCTCACACACATACATTTCACAACTCCACCATCCTCTCCTCTTCCTGCATAATACTTATTTTCATGTTTCTCCTATTTTTGAAATTCATTCCTTTTCCTTAGTTCAAAAAGCAACTTTTACCACTGGGTTCAAATATTTTTTCTTAAAAATACTGGTACTTAGGAAATTATAGAATGGATGATGTAGTTGTTGTGCCAATGTACTAATTTAAACAAACACGAGGCTAGTTCTGATCTCATTTAGAACATGGACACACTCACAGAATACTTCAAGCTTGCAAAGCATGTTTGGAAAAAAAAAAGCAGGTTCCTATCAGTATCTACATTTGTTCACTTGAGAGAGAGGAAGCTCTTAATGAAGAACAGTTTTTCAAGAAGGTTAAAGAACAGAGCTCCAGGCTATTATCTTGCCTTTCTAGAAGGAAAGAAGGAATCTATCCTACAACAAAACGAGCTGCTGCTTCTATAGTCTTCGATGAACTATGTGTTACTGACACTGTAAACATATTTATTCCAAGACTTCATAAAGTATCTGCATAAGAAATGCACCTTCTGTGACATTACACGGCACATATAAGACATGCACACGTCCCTCCCGTGGGCTGCAGTACTTCACAGAGGCTCAAAGGATGTGATGAACAAACAGTAGCCCTTTTTCCCCTTCTGTAGCACGTACCAGAGAAGCTACGTAGCGAACAGAAGCTGCATGCAAAACAGTTTACAGTCCTCTTTGTGAAGTCAACCAAGTTTTTCAGAGCACTTTGAACAAATGAGCATATTGGTTTAGATCTCTAGACAACTACGTATTCCAAACCAACGTGACTCCTCTTTTCATAAAAGGAAACATCACTTCGAGAAACCTTAACAAAGGTCTCCGATTTTTCAGAAACAGGCCTAAGCAGAAGTGCCTAACAGTCACTTCACAGCACACACTCCTCCCACAGAGGCAGAAGAAGCTTAAGCACAGAGGGGTTCTCAAAAGCCAGATGCTCAATAACACAGATGCGATCTCAAAATCACACCTCACACAAGATCAACCACCGGCAACGGCTTTTCCCCATCTACTATGGCATGTGTTCAGAAAATCAGTTTCTAAATCTGAAGTACTTAAGTGTTACAAAAATGAGTCTTTTGACTCATGATGAATATCTCTTTTAGGACAAGAGGCAATGGCCTCAAGTTAGGCCAGGGGAGCTTTCGGTTACACAGCAGGAGACGCTTCTGCACCAAAAGGGTTGGGACCAGGCTGCCCCGGGCAGGGGTGGCATCGCCAGCCTTGCATGTGTTTAAAAGCCATCTAGATGTGGTGCTCAGGGACAGGGTTTGGAAGCGGCCTGGCACAGTCAGGTAACAGCTGGACTTGATGATCTTAAAGGTCCTTTTCAACCATAATGATTCTATGAAATGATCAGTCAAAATACTATCACGACATAAGTTAGGACTATTAATTACTTCACTTTATAATAAAATGCAAGAGCATCTATAGGGTCAGAGTAAAGTGTTATCAGCTGCATTATGTAAACATGTATTATTATTATTACTTGGCAAGTACTAAACCAGTTATCATCACGGGAGTATTCTCAATGGCAGTCAGAGACCACTTTCACTTAGAACTCCTTCTATGAACAAAAGTTATAAATAAAAAAGTACGAAGTTCGCACACTTTAGGTTTACTTTGTCAAATCTATGAATTTAAATCTAAAATTGCTTCTATTTTTCAGCCTCTCTAAATTTAGTCCACCAGCTAGACTTAAATACACAAAGCTCACTTTTGTATACTGAGAAAGCATCAGGTTAGGGTGCATTCTGTACTTTGTTTTTGTTGGTAAGCTTAATACATGTTACAAAATCAGTTTTAAAAGGGACCGATTGATTAAGGAGAGAGAATTTAAAAAAAAATTACTAAACCAATAAAGAAGAATAAACCTTCCTACAATCAGGATTGAGAAATGGGCCAGTGCAAACTGC